TTTTGTTGTTAGTGGATTTTGATGTCGGGAGGTCATATATTAAAAAATAGATATATTAAAAGGTTAATCCCAGATTTTCAACATTTCTAACCTAACCTATCCAACCTAAAACGTGACACTGAACACATCGGAAGTGTGGCCATATGCAAAAACCTTTGAGAGAATCATATGTCTTCATGTGGGCACACCTCGTGCCCTTACAGTTGTTATTTCACAGCACATTTGTTTTTCTCGCTAGACCCATGCATACTTAGAGGAATCCTTCTGGGATATTGGCCGGTCAACTTGTGCAACCTTTAAGCAGTTGTCTGTGTCAGCAGCCATACTGCACAATCAGTGTTCGGTGCTGTGTGTGCAGATGGAAACCCACGAGACGTCAGCTTTAAAACCTGACAGCGAATGCAACAGCAGCAGGGACCATAGTTAACTGCTGATAAACATACAGAAAGCCAGCTGTTCAGACTTAGCCGGGTCACGCTGTACAAAAAAACATGACTCTAACATCTCTACTTCTTGCATCTGTTGAACACACCCAAAAACTGTACGTTTCCATCTTGTCAGGGTTCTTTATTGCATAACAAGTGATAACTTGATATCTATTGGGTGTTTGTGTACTTATTCTTTTGCTCCACAGGCATTTTATTTTTGAAGGACTGTCCTCTGAGATTTCGACATGCTATCACGAGTGTCTCTCCCTGGTGCTCTTATTCAAAGCAAATCTTTTTTTCAGTGGTGTTAAAGACTCTACAATGTCTTTTAACTTAACAAGGCGACGGCCTATTAACTTCACATTAGTGATCATGATTGACTACGATAGTAGTCAAACAGTAGTTTCTCTTTGCCAGCATAAAAAGGATTTGTTTTTATGCTGACAAAGAAAGGATATTTTGAAAAATGGGAAATTTTAAAGGAACCCAGTGAAAATCTAGAGAGAGTTGTAGATTTACACAAGAACCAGCAATATCCCAATTAGTAGATGCTCTGCTCTACGTCCTGAGTCATAGCTGCCCCAAGGAAGCTATTTTGAACATGGAATCTGGAGTCCTGGAATCCACATTTCTAAACAACTGCAGATTTCCGGATCAAAGAGTTGTTTGTAAGTACAAATTATTTGGATGTGTCACCACTCAGGCCAGTTATGGAAGAAGACCCAAACTGTCGTCCTCAGATGAGAGGAAATTGGTTAGGATGTAGAGTTGGATGTCTCAAAACCGGTCTTGGTCTCGAGACTTCGAGACCACTTTTGCGTGGTCTTGTCTTGGTCTCGCTTTCTTGGTCCTGCTGTCTCAGATCGAAATAGTGGTCAGGAGATTTGGAGTCAACAGTATCCATGACACACAACGTAACATTCGATAATGTGTCATGCGCAAAAGCATCAGCTCTAA